AATAATAATAAATTTATTGTTATTAATTTGGTTATTAGTATAACCAAAATTATTATTAGCATTCACATTTCCCATACTTTTGATATTATTAGGTATTACCATTCTTAAATATCTTGCCTATAAGTAAAAAGTAAAATTTCATTTTGTTTTGATTTGTATTTATTAAATGATGAGGGATTTTGAGCCACACTTCTAAAATTTGAATTAACAAGATTCCAAATAATATTATACTATAATTTTTGTTTTTATTGATATTTGACCTTTCCAAAGAAACAGAAACATGCTTTCCTCCTCCCCCCTCGCCTAATCGCTCATAGAAGCAGAGAATGCAACCGGGCTTGGAGGTTGGGCGAAATGGGGAGTTGTTGATTAGGGTACAGACTTTCAGTTACAAAATGAATAAGTCTGGGGATCTAATGTACAGCATGATGACTATGGTTAATAAAACTGTCATGTTTACTTGGAAGCAAATAAACTATATTATCAGTAAAATCAAAACAAAACAAATACCCAGAAAGAATCTTTACATTTTTAAATTCTTTCCTAGAATTTTAATATTTTAAATTTAATATTTTCAATTGTTCATAGTTTCTATTTTCACATATTACCTACACTGATTTCCCATTTATTTCTTTGCTTAGTCATCCATTTACTAATTGACAATTGTTTGGCTTATTTTATATATTAGAAAATTATCTTATTTTTTGAAATTGATTATTTTAGACTATCATTTTTATTGTGTTGTATAGGAATATTAGTTTCTCCTCTGCGTACTATTATTTTACAGCAAAGTAATTGTCTATGTTCTTATATCATCACAGTCAAATGAGTCTCTCATTCACTCATTCAAAAGATATGAACCAACTCCACTGAAAGCTCCTTGTTCTTGATATTTCTTTTAACCTACTCTTGTCCCACATAATAATTGAGTTATTTGGAAGGTATATTATTAAGCTTTTCATTTATTATTTGATTAAAGAAAGATAGCCAGATAAAACTTTTAATGTTGAAATAAATTCTTTTTATATTGATTATATAAAATATTAAATATGACACATAACTGTAATCTAAATTTTGGCATTAAAATAAGAATTAAATATTATATGAATGGTAGTTATATTTACTTTAACATTTACAATGTAAAGTTTACTATGGAAATCCAACAAAATGAACAAATAAAGGTTGGGTAAATAAGAAAATGTGTTTAATATGATAGTGTCATTTTAAGACGAAAAACTAAAACATGAATAGTAGATAATTAATTTTTCAATTACAAAGGAGTACATGTTGTACTGAAAACATTCTTAGAAAGACACCTGGAACAGTTGGACACTAATTCTGTTGCTGAAGGTACAGTTTAACCTTGTACAATGATTACAGTAATAAAGTTAATGAAGATCAATAAGTTTTAAAGAACTTAGACACATCTGATTTAGCCCTAAAATGTGAAACTAACATCTAGCTTATTCCCTATTATGAAATGTCTTTTTAGAAATGATTTGATTCCTTGTTCTTCTGGTAGATTGATGGAAGCTGCTTGTTTAAAACAAAAATTAAAAGTGTTGGCATAGTAGATTGTTCAGTAGATTGTTGTTTGTAACATTCCTGGGGTATGCTATTTTCTCTTCTCTGCCTACCCCATGTCCTCCTTCCCTCCTCTCTCGTGATTATAGGCTAAGAGGATTTAAATTTAAATCTGTATATGATTGGGGTAGAAAAATATAACTGGGGTTTAGTAGGCTGGGTAACTTGGATAGGGATGTGAAAAACAAACTAGGTTTTTATTATAGAGGAATACTATCTTTTGTTGCAACATGATTTTAATTCTAAATTAGTAGTTCACTATTGAGATTTAAGCTTCTGGTTGTGCTATTATTATATGCTGAAAAGAAGACTTTGGCTCTCTCCCTTTCTTTTATGGAATTGTTGAAAATTACTAAATGCTTAGCTTAAGTGTTGTTATTATATATAGGGTACACATGGTATATATTTTATATTAACTTTCGTATATTGTTTTCCTGTTCCAGCGGGTTTGGGTGTTGAGTGGAACTATCTAATGCCAAGGTGTTTTCCTTGCAGTGCCCTTACTGCCGGTTCCCAGCCAGCCAAGACCTGCGGTGGGACCCCAGAGATTCCCAGTGAGTAGCAGCTGCTCCTTCTGCTCCAAGAGGGATGAGCATACATTTACTAAGAAATATTAGTATAGCAAATGCAAGGGGTTCCAGCCAAATATAAATTTAAGGATTTATAAATATTGACAATAATCTCTGCAGTAGAAAATGTTTGTTAAAAGCTTAAGGTCAATGGATTTTTGGGAGTAGAATTAATTTTGTTTAACTGTAAAATTGTTGAATCAGGATCATCAGTAGAATGTCTTTCCTCTTAAAGAAAATGAATTCTGATTTTATTATTGCCTATGTTAAGTGGGAAAGGACTTTGCTTTATTAGAGTGTGTGTGTGCACGCACATTCGTACGTGTGTAGGTGTGTGTATGAAATGCTAGCAAATGAAAATGAGATCGCTACTTGATTTTTAAAAGAACCTCCGAAGTCTTAATGAACCATTGGTTTTATTTTTAAAATGAAGGTTTTCACTTTAAAAAAAAGCACACATTCCCTCTCCTTCCCTCCTTGCTCACTGTCCCCCCATTCGTACATATACAAGCCCGCATGCTTTGCTGTATTTTCTGTAATTTCATCCATTCTTCTCTAAAATATTTTAGCTAGAAGAAAAATGGATTTTTTAGGAGAAAAATGTCCATTAACTACTTAACATTTGTTTAAATATATACATTTTTATTCTGTTTGAATTTTTGGTCTGATTAGTAGTTCGTTGATGATATTATTAAATGAGTGAGTACATGGTCTTTTTAAAAAGTGTGGGCAAAAAATGTACCAGACCGTAAAATTGTAACATGATTTTTATGTAAAGCAGAGATAGTCTTACTTGGCTAAACAATCTGATTTTCAGGAAATACTCAAATGGCCTGCTTGACTGTTTAACTTGGATACTTCAGTGGATAAATATGTGGCATTTAGCAAAAAGGTTTAAATGAAGAATGTGAATGTATAATTGGGTGATTATTCAAAAAAATAGTTTTGGATTTAAGGTTCAGAGTATTTTTTAGAAACTGATTTGTAGTTATTTATGTATTATAATCTGATTTCTGCAGCTGGTTCTTATTTCCTTATATTTAGCTAATTTTTTCTTTAGATTACTTACCAACTTCTAAAAATTATTTTTATAAATTTAAGTAATATTTATTGAGTACCAATCCCTATTCAAAGCACTTGTCTAAAAAACTAAGTTTTATTAATTTCATTACTCACAATAAACATGTATGGTTTTGGTCATTAAATATATTTCTTGTGGTCGAGTTTATCTGCTAGTTATTGTAAAGCACATTTTAAGTACATTTTGTTCTGTCTCAGAACTGAACATCTGTTAAAATCGTTCTTGGACCTATATTCATATTTTATTTGTATGATGGGGATGAAATTTGAGGTGAAAAGTAAGTTATATTTTAAGAAATTAACATAAAGTAATGTTTTATGTAATTAATATTTTTGTAAAAATACATTTACTAATAATTAGAATAGTCACTTGAAATTTTCTTTTACTTTTATTTTCACTTGTATAAATATTATATCTGATACTAGAAGGAAAATCTCACAATACTTTGAGGATATCACAAGAGAATAATAAAAGAAAATTTTTGTGAGAAATTGAACTTATTTTTAAGTTATGGTATTCTTAGGATGGTAAGTGTTGTTGAATTGCAAGGCATTTGGAAGGGGAAAAGTTTCTGCAAGGTATAATGTTTTGTTTTTGAGTTGGGAAGTGTATGGGGATGATAGGAGTGGTTGGGCTATAAATTAGTATGTATATGATATAATTTGAGAAATGTTCTCTTCAGGTCACGTATTTACCACTGTTCAACACCTTTTGTTAAGCCTCAAATGCTGGAGTTCCAGCAAAGTTGTGGTATAGAAAATGTTGTGCTCTACTTATTTCTGTAAATTATTCTCCCTTAGAGAAAATAATCAAATGTGGAATCTATTTTTTAAAAATTACAATGGAGATATTCTGTTTTTAAAAGGTCCATCAAAGCTTTGTTGGGGAGGCTATCTGCTATCATTTTACTTGTAAGCCAGATCCTTGTTGATTACAGTTATTTTTATTCTACTTCTAGATTAAACTTGGTTGCTATGAATGTGAATTTAATTTTGTAAACATCTAATGGGGATGCCCTTAATGCCATGTGCTCTACGCAGTGCTGGTTCCTAAACTGTAAAATGAGCCAGCGTAATTAAATGAAGCCTCACTTATGAGTAAAATTTTGAAAAAGTAGTGAAGACAGTATTGTGGTAGCTTAATAAAGCCCTTTGGAGATCTCTTATGTACGGTTGGATGCCCTTCATTTTCTGTCCTGGTGTTTTTCCATAGTTGGCCTTCAGTCAGGGTTCTCTAAACTAAATCTTGCTTTATAAAATGACAGCACACAAACACATTTATTAGGAAACCTAACTTCACATTCATTACAGGGTCTGTTTGAATCAGTGTACTTCTTTAGTACACAAAAGTAGATTTGAATTAAAAAATGTATACACCAGTTTTCATGAAATTTGCAAATGGGGCAAATTAAGGTTCATTTTGATCTTCCTTTTCCTTTGCTTAAGACCCTTCAAAGGAGTTCTCATTGCTCCTAACATAGGTATGTTCTGTTCATAGCTTCATACTTCCTCACATCAGTCAGAGTGGTAAGTTTACTAGTATTCATGTGGTGTCTTGTCAGTGTCTGTGGATAAACTTATGCACAGAGTCCCAGTCATCTTGTGCTTGGTGGTGTAGATTTGACCAGTTGGCCTTGTGCACAGAAGGCATGAGTATGCTGTTGTTGAATACATGTACATGAGAATTTTTTTTTTTTTTTTTTTTTTTTTTTTTTGAGACAGAGTCTCGCTTGTTGCCCAGGCTAGAGTGAGGGCTGTAGCTTCAGCCTAGCTCACAGCAACCTCAAACTCCTGGGCTCAAGCAATCCTTCTGCCTCAGCCTCCCGAGTAGCTGGGACTACAGGCATGCACCACCATGCCCAGCTAATTATATATATATATTAGTTGGCCAATTAATTTCTTTCTATTTATAGTAGAGACGGAGTCTTGCTCTTGCTCAGGCTGGTTTCAAACTCCTGACCTCGAGCAATCCACCCGCCTTGGCCTCCCAGAGTGCTAGGATTACAGGCTTGAGCCACCGCGCCCGGCCATACATGAGAATTTAATATTGAGTTATCTTGCCACTCATTAGGAGCCCTGCATAGCATAAGTAGTGTAGAGAAGGGGTGTATATTTTAATTTTTATATTTTTTACTTCTTTTTGTTGTTTTGAAAACTACATATGTGAATTTGCATAGTAGAATTACAGAATTGAGCTCTGTACCCAGTTGACTAAAGAGTAAACAAAGGCAGACTGTAGACAGAAATACTGCTAGTTTTCTCAATTTTAAAGGATGTACAATTTATTCTTCTCTCTTCCCCAACAATGGTAAACTTTTAAGAAAGTAGTTTTTTAAGAAAAAATTTAGTTTTATTTAACTATTTTGTGAAAATGGTAGAAATACTTAGTATGTCTAGAAATTTTGCTAAGTGATAATGCCTCTAGTTTTTTAATATAAAATCAACAGAACTCAGGGCAACTTAATATGAAGCACTATTTTTCATAGTATGTAAAATTATTTTAAATTACTAAAAATTATTTTTAAAAATTCAAATCTTAGGCCAGAATTTGGTATTCTAGGCTATGCTTGACATAGTAAGACTAATATTTTAATTTTCTGTTAATGAATATTAGAGAATTGAATAAACAATTTTTAAAATAAAGATGTGAATGTCAGAATGATAAATGTCTTAAGAAAAGGATTCATATTTTTGATCATTTTGGAAAAATTCCTTTATCTCTTGGCACTTGAGCCACTAGTTCTTTGTACTCAGATGGGGTTTTGACCCTTAGTCAAAACCCCATTTCAGTAATTCTGTGGTGCACTTTGTGATTTAGGCTTCCATCTAAAAATTAGATTCATGTACTTAATTTTAGTTACAGCTGTTAGTGTGGAACTCTGAAACGTTTCTTCTCACACAAACCTTTATTACTGTTGACCATTTTATTTTTTCAAATCAGAATTATGAATCTATTCTTGCAGTTATTAAAACATACCTCATTGATGGCATATCAGAGAATGAATATTTTTCATACTCATGTTCATGTCAGAATATTAATCTTCCAAATGTAAAATATTTTACATTTGGAACTCATTATTTGAGTTGAGTTGTGAATACGTGCTTCCATGAGCTAATGGGCACGTTCCTGTGTGAGTGATGTGCCTCCACTCTGGCCCTTCACTCCGTCCAGTTTTTCTGTCTGGCTTCCTGCCATCCACTAGTCCATTCACATTTCTATTCATGTCAGGACCTTTGAATGCAATTTCACAAAACACTGGTGGTTTTTTCTTTCAAATAAGGAAGTAGAAGTGGAAGACTAGTTTGTTTCCCTTTCTGAAAGTAAGATTCTTTGTTTTTATTTGAATTCTATTTTCTTTTTTCTTTTTTTAATTTTTTTTGAGACAGAGTCTCACTTTGTTGCTCATGCTAGAGTGAGTGCTGTGGCGTCAGCCTAGCTCACAGCAACCTCAATCTCCTGGGCTCAAGCAATCCTTCTGCCTCGGCCTCCCGAGTAGCTGGGACTACAGGCATGCGCCACCATGCCCAGCTAATTTTTTCTCTATATATTTTTAGTTGGTCAATTAGTTTCTTTCTATTTTTAGTAGAGACAGGGTCTCGCTCAGGCTGGTTTCAAACTCCTGACCTTGAGCAATCCGCCTGCCTCGGCCTCCCAGAGTGCTAGGATTACAGGCGTGAGCCACCGCGCCCAGCCTTGAATTCTATTTTTAATTATAAATATTTTATGTTTTACAAGTTAGTCTAATTTATTTCTCTTTCTACAAAGGCTATACCTGATGTTTTTGTCATTAATGTAAAGTTACTAGTCTTTTTCTTATCCATAAGTATATTTTCCAGTCATCTATTTGTCCTCAAAGAGATTTGTGTTGTTTTTAAAACAATTTTTGTTACAATTGTTGTTTGCC